AAAAGAACGTTCAACATTTTTTAAAACATTATTTAAAATACCGTCATTTGAGGTAACTTGGAACACCGGGGTAACTATGAACAATTTGCAACGGCTTACAAAAACATGTTGCATCATTAAACGGATAGAGGTAGAACATCCCTTATAGAAATATCATACTAAGAATTATTGATAATTACTTATTTTCAGTATTAAAAATACTGGATAATAAGTAATTATCAATGATTCTTAGTGATATTTCTATAAAGGATTCTATAAAGGATTTCTATAAATGATATTTCTATAAAGGATTCATATCAACAATAGAAAAGTTACCCCAAATGACGGTATATTATTGTCCTTAAAATAAAATAATTTTTGTTAATTTATGTCTAATATATTGACATTTTTGGCTCATTAATTTTCTCTTATAATTCATAACAATTTTAACATAATTTTTTATAATTAATTTTGTTATAAAGTATTTGTGGTTTTTAAGAAAATCTAATTCTTTTTATTATTTCTACTATATTATTAGGTCTTTCCAATATGTATTACCATGTAATACGCGGATATTAGAAGCGTTTACGTTGCTAAATCTGTTTTGCTCTACTGAGTTCCTTCTTTTGACGTTGGTCCTGGCGGCGCTACAGATGTTGACAGACGCTTAGAATCGCCGCTAGCGGTCCATGGTTATATAGTCAAAGCTCCACTCAGTCTAGATTCTCTCTGGATGGAGTTCCATGGCATGTATTTTCCGCATATCGCGTAAGCGCGTAATCAATAAGTTGCGACGTATTTCTGTTGAAACTTCTAAAAGAATAGAAAGATGTGATTGGTTACGCGAGTAACGAGTTACGCGAAAATACATGCCATAGAACTCCATCCTCTGAGATTTTCTGTTCGTCTTTGTTTAACTCATACCAGTCGTACCACGAAACAGAACCCCATTGAGTTTACCATCGCAGTCGGTACACTGGACAAGGTTCTGATTCTCACCACTGTTAATTATTGCTCTTCAGTCGATTCGGAGTGCTCGTCTCCGAGGCCAGGAGCTTTAAGGACTGCGTTCCAAAACTCTACTCCGAATAGCAGAGTTAACTCAACATCGTTCTAAAATATGGTGTAACATATTAGATGGGCGGAGACAAATCATTCAGAAATTCAGAATAGACTATACTCAGAGTCAACTTTTATGGCTCCTGCACACGGGACGCGGTAATGCTTGCCGCGCGGCGGAAGTCCGCGCAACAGCCAATCAATATGTTGTTTTTCCGTAAAAGTTAGAAGGTTATTACAGAAAGCAGCATATTGATGGCTGTCGCGCGAACTTCCGCCGCGCAACAAACATTACCACGTCCTGTGTGCAGGAACCATTATGCGTCGTCTACAATGGCAATAGGAATAGTAGTAAAAAATGAGCAGTAAGCAAATTGACCAATTCCATTCTCACGATTCAAGAATAATCGATTGTGATTGGTCCATTTATTGGAAGTGTGCATTAATTTTAAAAGATTTTCATGATATGGCGTAACTAGTACTATATCGCATCGAGCCATATTGTTGCTACTTTCATGTCAAAGCACCATCATGTGGCTTTAGTTTTTAGTATGTCGTTTTGCCGAAGTGTACCTAGCGAGAAAGGTTACGTCGACTCGACGTCTACTAGACGTCTATATGAAACGTCTATCTACCATCTATAGGCCTGTTCTTTATAGTTGCACTGCTGAACTGGTGCAATATATTAAAGTGAGACAAATATACGTTTTCTCACTCTAACTTATTGCACTAGTTCAGCAGTGCAGCTATAAAGAACAGGCCTTATGTCTAATTTAGATTAAGATCTATATCGATCTAAAAACGATCCACATTTAGATGTCTAATAGACCGTTATTTCGACGTCTTATCGATGTCTAATAGATCGTCATTTCGACGTCGATCAATAAGTCATTTCTCACTGGATTGTTTCATAAAAATAACTAATTCCTAATTTTTTTCATGTCTTATAAACTGTTAAAAATCGAAGATTGTCAAACACATGCTAAAATTTTCACGAATCCTGCCTTGATAATTTCGAATCCGAAGCGGCACCCCCATCCGTTCATCCTGACTGTGTTGTTTAACCTGACGATCGAGCGGCACGCATCATTTTTCCAATGACTCCAACGATATTCTTACAATTTATGCTTATAAAATGTATACTTACAGTGTTTACAGTATATTATAACGTACCTAGCAAATACGTTGATTCGCCTATCTATTTTATTTAATATCTTTTAAAGTTTATGTAGTTATTTGCAAAATGACTTTGACTATTCCTTCCATTTTTCGAGTAATCTGACATTCCTATCTTTGTAATACTATAATTGAAACGGAAATCTAAAAAAAAACTGACATTTTCACTTAGAATAAATTTTTTATGCAAAACGCGCGCGACTCCAGTGAGAAATGACTTATTGAACGACGTCAAATAGACGGGAGCGGTGCACTTGGACACGGTGCATTTGGACACAGCCAATCACAGCACCGTGTGATTAGAGACATTTGTAGGGTCCCTTGGAACAGCGACTTGTGATTGGACTGTGTCCAATTGCCCCGTGTCCAACTGATATACACCCAAATAGACGTCTTTTCGACGTCGATCGATAAGTCATTTCTCACTGGGATATTAGATATCGATTCAATATCGAATAGACGTCTAGAGAGATTGTAAATAATCAACAAAATAAAATCCCGAAATTTTATCGAAAACTCTCTTTTAATGGTCAATATATTATGAATGGATTCTAAAACATTAAAATTTACTTAAAATAGAAGACGTCTAAATTGCCATTTTTCTAGACGTCTAAATGCACGTCTGCGTTCTCGCTGGGCTAGACGTACATTTAGACTAGACGTAACTTAAACTTCTCCGACGTTGCCCTAATAGCACGCATGTTCAAAAGACGTCCAGAGAACATCCAGAAAA